CAGAGTCCTGAGAACCTGCCATGTTGGTGCCATATTCTGGGAGGTAAGCATGCTTTGCCGTCAGTTGACATGTTTCTGAAAGGCAGCCAGCCACCGAGGGCATTTATCTCTTCTCTCCCATCTGCCTTTTGTGCACAGGGGGAGCCAGCAGATGGCAGAAATAATTCAGAGGGGTCAGCGTCATGATCAGATCTATCAGAAATTTAAAAAGATGAGCTTTATATACATTATCGCTAATCTTCTCAAAAGGTCTCTAGTGTATTATTACCATTATTATTAATGGTAATATTATTACCATTATTAATTGTAATTGTAATATATAATAATATTATTATAGTTATTAATTATAGTATTATTAGCATTCTTTGGAGTAAGAAACTGAGCTCAGAGAGATTTAGAAACTTACCCACCAATAGCCAGTAAGCCGGAGAGTTGGGGTTCAAACTCATCTCTGTCTGACTACGGCTAATGCGCGTGTCACTTAGAGAATGGGGAAGAGAGTTGAGCATGACTGTACACAGCTCTGCATCCCTGGGTTCCCCAGATTTGTATGTAACTAATTGCTCTTTCCTTCCCTTCCAAGTCAGAGGCATCTGATAATCAGTTGTGTTGTGGTGAAGTATACCTAGGTTTCTAACAGCTGCAGAAAGCCCTGGAGGCCTGTTACTTAACTCGGAGCTGCCAAAATAGGACCAGTAGTATTTCAGGGTCATGGTCTTCCTTTCAACCATAGCCCCAAGACCCAAAGTGTGCTGTGCTAGAATACAGATTCTCTGGCCCCAGAAGGTCACAGTTTTCCACCATCCTCTTCCTCTGATTTCTGGCCCAAGGCTCCACAATTTTAGGGAATGTCGCATGATTCTGCTGCTGCCTCTTGAGTCAGCATCTTGGATAGACTGAGAGTCTCTCTGCTTAGGCCTGTGGGCTCCGTTGAGCTCAAGGACTATATCCAAGTGCTTTCCTTTGCATAATGCCAGGCCCAAGTGAGCGAGTGGTTAACCAGTACTTCTGGGTGAATGAATGGTTGCAAGTTAAAAAATTGTGAAGCCAAAAAGGCAGAAAATTCTAAAAAATAAAGCAAAGTAGTCATACACTTGGCCACCAGTGAGAGTCAGGCCATCTTGGTCCTTAGAAGAAGCATTCCAAACTTTTTAAAAATTGCCTTCCATAACTTGGAAATAGCTTCAGATATTCATGAGGAGTAAATTGATGATATATGAGAGTGATTCAGAACATTTGGTGCCTTATGAGATTTTGAATTCCTTTTAAAGTTTCCTGGGAAGCCAGAAAAGGTTCACTGGAGGACAAGCGGAGTGAATTTATTTAATATGTTGAAAACATCTCTACTTTTGAAGAATTTGGTTTTGGATTCTGTCCCAATTGAAGCCTCTTAGTGAACTTAGGCTGCAGACTGCAGGGCATAAAGGTGTCGATTAAAGGGTCTGGGAATCACTTTACCTGCCAAATGAACTGGAAAAGGCACATCTGATGATGGAATCAACCCCACCAAGGGGCTGGGAGCACTCTTCCCACGGGGATCCAGCTGCCTTCCTCTGTTCTACTGTATAGGAGACACCTGTCTTCCTCTTTATTTGGAATTGGTTCATTCCGTCTATCCCCATAACTTTGTCAAATATCAGTGGTTGAGAAATAGCATATCCCCTGCTTAGTTAGATGGGAGGCAGTCTGGGTAGAAAGCCATAAATGATTCTAATTGCTAATATAAAGTACTTTCTGAATAGTGTGCTTGTAATGCTGCTGTAGGTGTCGATACCTTTATGTTATTAAGCTTGAATTCTGCACCCTTCGCTCAATCCTATGAGTTCCTGCTTCCGTTGCCTTATGAATCCTTATTGTGGCAGAATCTCATTAAAAATCCAAGTCCACGACTAGACAGTATATGACCTACCTATCTCTTTCTAGGAAAAAAAAATCCCAAATGACTGAAAACTTGAGATTATATAGAAACGTAACTCACTGCCTTATAATTCTTGAGTGCAGAATAGTAGCAAATAATGGGATTATAATGAATTTGTAGCAGGTATGTTGTTAGCAAATAGCATTTGGAAAACTAGAGGAATAGAAGGTTACTATTCAATAAAACCCCCTCTTTCAAACATTTGCAGTCTTGATGAGATTTGGGCAGGTTCCTTTTAATCCAGCGTTTCATGTCAAGTCCCTTGGCAAGTGCATATGTGGTTCAGGTTTCAGCATAGGACACCTAGAAAATACTCTGCTGTAAGAGGTAGGCTCATATTCTTTGGGCATACAGAGAGCCGACCTGGTTCCTTATGGTCATGATCAGCAGAGCTGTAAGCACCTGAAATAAATTATGTCTAGAAGACATTTGTTTACATATAAAAGAAAAATAATTGTATTTTAGTAGTTTCCCATTATCCGCAGGGGATAAGACCCCTAGTGGACCCCTGAAACTGAAGATGGTACCGAACTCTGTGTATACTATGTTTTTTCCTATATGTACATACCTGTGATAAAGTTTAATTTATAAATTAGGCGCAGTAAGAGATTAACAACAACAATAATAAAATAGAACAATTATAACAATACACTGGAATAAAAGTTATGTGAAAGTGTTCTTTCTCAGAATATCTTGTTGTACTGTCTTCCCCCATCTTCTTGTGATGATGTGAGATGATACAGTGCCCACGTGATGAGGTGAAGTGAGGTGAGGTGAATGATGTAGGCATTGTGATATAGCACTATTTTCAGACCGCGATTGACCATGGGTAACTGAAACTATGGATAAGGGGGGACTACTGTATAGAAAATACTGAAAATAGACAAGAGATCAAAGAATCACCTATCTAAATTCCACTGCCAGATGAAATCATTTGGTTTATTTCTTTGTCTAAATGAATTACGATATTCCCATTATTAAAAGTGTATAGTGTAAAATATGAAAGTTTTCTCCCTCCTCAGAGATGACTGTTAACAATTTGAAGTATTTGATTGAACTATTTAAATGCGTGTATATATTTACAAGTATATATAAATGCACATTGAAACATGGAATACATATGCAACGTCCTTTTTGTCACTTAATATTATGTCTTACAGCTCTTTCAGTAATAGTATATAGAGAGCTACTTTATCCTTTTAAATGGCTGCAGAGTGTTCCATAGACTCAATGTACAATAATTTCCCTACAATGATACTTGCCTCCTGATGGAGAATTAACTTGTTTCCAGTTAATCACTAGGACAGTGCTGTAAGGAACATCCATCTACATGTATCTTTGGGCACTTGAGCATATGTGACTATTTCTGTAGGATACATTCCTAAACATAGAATTGCTGGACCAAATGGTATGTGCTTTCTAACACTGGTATGGTTGGTCTTTTATATTTTTACCAGTAGACTTTAAATATTTCGTTATTTAGATTCTCTTTTCTCTCTAATCTTTTAAAATGTAGTTTTCTACTGAATCTTGCTTTTTTCACTTTTATTACATAAACATTTTTCTATATGATAATTAACAGTAGAGAAATTATTATACCTAAATAGGCATTTAGACATAACATCATCTTTGGGTGTTTAGCTTTTCTATATCTTAGTTTATGCCTTTACGCTAAATGCCTAGGAGTAGTTGTAAGTCATAGTCATATTTAGGAGATCTAACATGTGTTTAGGTTTTCTTAAGTTTCTTTGCTAATAGTTGATTAATATCCTGAGTTCCATGCCATCTAACTTATATTTTTGTGCTTTTGGTAAGTATTCACCAGTATCTAAATATTCAGTCTTTACTCTGTGCCAATAAGCATGAGTGAATATACTGATTTTTTTTAAGGATATACAATTGAGACCTTGTTTGTTTAGGTCTTATAACTTTATTACAGTGGCTAAGACATCACCAACACGGCCTAGTCAGCCTTTCTAAGGTTAAAGGGTATCTGGAATGCATACTACATGGCCGGCCTCCAGAGCTAAGGGGTCTGGAATTTGCCCTTCAAAAGAGCGAGGTCAATCTAGTTTTCCTTGTGCAACCAGCTCCTCTGCTAGGGGACACTAACTGCTTACCCATTCGATCAAGTCCAGATTTCTTCACCCTCAGGGCAGTTTTAATCAATCTTACTCTTGACTCAGCTTTTTTGTTTTTTTTAAGTTATAAATTTTAGGATGTGATCCAAAGGAAATAGATATAAACAAAAATTTGTGTGTAAGCATATACGTCACAGCTTGTTTACAAGGACCATTGGGAGAAATTTCTCTCGAGTCTAATGAGTATGAATAGTTATTTTCGTAAAGATCTGGTTAGTTTTTATGTGAAATCTTATAACTGTGTTTTCCTTTGTGTATTGACTGCTAGAAGGCTAAGAGTCAAATTTGTGGTCCATCTCTAGCAAGTATATAAGCATGGATATATACAATATATATACACACATACATATACACATATATACGTGTGTGTGTGTGTGTGTGTACATACATAGCATGAATGAACCTTATTGCTTGATTCATCATTGTCATTTGGTCCTGAAGAAAAAAATAGATTTCCACTAGAGGTTTTCTCAGAGGGGACATTCTGGCTGTTTTACCCAGCATACTCCATAGTAAGTTTCCCAGAAATCCTCTAGGACAACTGTTTAGATGGTTCAGTTGGTGGGTCTTAATTCAGCTGCCTGGCCTCTGTGCTGCTGTTTCTCTTCTGCTTCGTCCCTCTGGGCTCTGTGCGTGCTCAGGCTTCTGACCTGTACTATCTCTGCTGTGCATGGCCCCCTGGAAATAGAATTGTTCTCTCTCTGACTGCTTATTTTAAAGAAAATGCTGATGAGTAAAATCTCTGCCTCATCACATAAGAAAAAAAGTTTATATCTTTTGTAACTCTATAATAGAAAAAAGGAAGTACATAGCTGTAGATTGTGACTTAGAACTCAAGAAAGTCCCCTGGCTTGATGCTTGGGGTTCATTTCTTGTAGGTTTATTTGCTGGTTTGAGTTTCATATTCTTTAAAATATGTCCTTTTTTATTTTTTCTCCTAGGTGAATGTCGGATGTGTACCCAAAAAGGTAGAATTTTTATTTCTTATTCCTTCCACATTCCTTTTACGTATTTGGCAAATTATGACCAGAGTTAAGAATGTTTCCAAATGTATTGGTTAAAATTCTTTCTGCAAAAAATAACTGAGAAAGCAATTAAAAGTGGTGTTAAAAAATAGGATAGTTTTTGTTTTTATTTTTAAATATCACTTATTAAGAAGCCTGGAAGGAAAAAAAAGCATGGAGATAGGCAGTTTCTGAGATTGGCTTAGCACTTAAGGGTATCTGAGAGGATCCCGGCTTCTCTCCGTCTTTCCATTCTGATACCCTAGGTGTGTAGTCAGTAGTAACTTCCCCTTCCCCAATGGCCACAGGCTGACTCCCAGAGCTCCAGGTAGGATGTCCTCACCTACCACTCTCTGCAGATTGCTTAGGTTCTCCTGGCCAGGACTGAGCTACTCCTGCAGGGGAGATTGGGGGAGTGAGTGGCATTTTCAGCTAGGAAGGAGGGGAGGGGGTGACAGCTGGAGAGAGAACCACAGAAATAGTAGCTCCTGGATGCTAATTGCATCATGCATGCAAAAGAAATTCATCCTGGATGTTCGCCCTGTGGTAAGTTCTCATAGTAACGAAGTTCCTGTGGGGACACAGTGGGGAGGTAACCAGGAATAGAACACAGTGTCTGGTCTCAAACTTCTGATGATCTAGACGGAACAAAGGCTAACAAAATATCTGTAGTCACGGCATAAAAGAAAAACACTGTCCATCTGCACAGGTTAACTTTTCCCCAGTAGGGAGCTCCAGCCAGGAAATTAAAAAGTTTATACCCAACTGTCAGTGCAAGTGCTGATATGACCAGGACCAAGTGGACAACAGTGCCAGATGGATGCTCCTCTCACACATGGCCCTGGTTGACTACCTGGAATCCTGGGGTGACTTTGCAGAGGGTAGGATGTTCACCTTAAGCCGTCTGGCCTTTCACCTGCTCCAGTGCATTTCTGGATCAGTTTTTCCCAGGGAGACTAGAACTCTCTTTCTCCTGGAATGATGGGTCAAGATTGTCATGCATTTTTGTTTGTTTTATTTTGTTGGTAGTTTTTGTTTTTAAATTCAGAGATCTATTTCCCCATAAACTATTCGTGTTAAAATCCTATATCTTGTAACTTTGGGTGTCTCGTGGCCATTTTAAGATTGTATTTCTCAAGTTGCCTGAATGACATTTCTGAGTATGGTGTGTGGATACCTTTGAGGTAAACAGTCTGCTGATAAATTGCAGTGTACTTGGATCTAGTCCCCATCTTTGCTGTTCCGTTAGTTCAATTTGTATTGGTTCATTCAGGAGTGATCAGACAGACTAGTGAATTGATTACCTGACCTTGTAAGAAATTGTTTTATAAGACAATACACTGATTTATTAGTTTAGAGTGAGTGAGATTGTATCTGGGCCTAGTAGTTAGGACTGACCTGCAGAGGATAGTTTTTTCTCAAAAGGGAGACCTAGCTGGCAGTTCACATTATTGAGTGGAATCTTCTTAAGTATTTCCATTCAGTTCTGCAGCCTCATGCAGTCTCTTGACCACTGTAGTGATTTTTGGTCCTAATACCGTGGTGCAGGTCACACTGAATGAACTCATCTTTTACCTGTGAGTAAGAAGAGGAAGAAATGGCAGCTCTTGTTTCCACACCTGCCTCTTGCTTATCCTGTACTTGCAAATAAGTTTACTCTTAATTTGAATGTACTTTCAAAACGTCATAATCCCAAATTTACAACCTTTTGTTACTGAGATTACATTTTAAATCGGCAGCTTTTTCGTATCATGTAAGCAAATATTCCAGTCTCATCAGTGACACACACCTGAGTTTCATTCCAGAAAGGTTTTCTGTAACCTGTTCCCTAGTATAGGGAGGTTTTTTCTCTCTTAGAAAAATTTGGTTTTTTCTGTGGGACATCTTTCCTCAGTTATTTTCTTTCCTTTTAGTCCTAGATTTTGTAATCTGTTCTACTTGGAGGCATACAATTGTGAATATATGAATTATGTAAATTAGCTATAAGGTAGTTTCATATAGTTTAAACCAGTTATGGTTGTAAATCTGGTGTTGGTGCTACCTCATTATTTTAAGCCTTCTGGGCTAATACTGCATACTGGCCTCAGTTTGTAATATTTTGTTCCACTATATTGTTTCACTTATTCCTTCTATTCTGATCACATGTGCTGGACATCTACCTTATATTTTTATAGGGCTCTATTGATTTCAAAGTGCTTTTGCATTCTTGAGGTTGGTAATTGCGTCTTGTTTTGTAGAAGAACAAAGCAAAGTGTAGAGTAAGTCCCTCCTCCAGAAGGGTGGAGTGAAGCAGTGGAGAAGGAAACAGATGATGAACCACGCTGAGTAGGTCTGAGCCTGAAGGCCCAGAGCGGTTCATATAGAGGCACCCTCTCCAGAGGGTGTTTGATGCTATAGTATCATACATCATACAAACTGGAAGTGAATACATATGGTCCCTCATGATGAGATGAGGTATAGTGATGTTTATGAAAATAGCATACCTTACTTGTGGTATTGATAAGTCATTCATCTACATTGTTTAAGATAAAGAATCTAGCAGATAAAATGGTTAATTCTATGTTATATGAATTTCACCACAATAAAAAACCCAGCATCTAGTAGAGTCATCAATTTATTCATCTTTAGGCATAAAGGGAGAAGGGTAAAAAGAAGGAATCTAAGCCTTGTCAAAAATGGAGTCTCAGGGGCCCTGCCCAGTGGTGTAGTGGTTGAGTTCATGCGCTGTGCTTTGGCGGCCCAGGATTCAGATCCCAGGCGTGGACCTACACATTGCTCATCAAGCCAAGCTGTGGTGGCCTCCCACATACAAAATAGAGGAGGATTGGCACAGGTGTTACCTCAGGGACAGTCTTCTTCAAGCAAAAAGAAGAAGATTGGCACCAGATGTTAGCTCAGAGACAATCTTCCTCATCCAAAAAAAGGAGTCTCAGGTTTGTCTGACAAAGAAAAATAATACTTGCCTGTCACCTAGAGTACTAGATGTCACTGAATTCAGTTATCACGATGATCAGTTGGCATGAAAGGCCTTTACACATTATAGGCTGCACCCACAAGAGCTGCACTGAACCTTGCGTTCCAGATGTCTAATCACGTATGTCCTTAGAAGGACATGTTCGCAGTTACTAAATACCTAATAGGAACCATTCTGTTAAGTTTTCAGTCCTCAACGTTATGTAATAGCTTCCTTCTAAATCACTGTACTATAAAATTACAGATGCAATTCCATTTCCTGGACCTAATCACAAGAGGCATGGCTTCAAATCTGAAACTTCAAGAGAGAATATAAGCAATAGTAAATTTTAACGGGAGGACTATGAGGCTCATAATATCCTGCTTTTATAGAGTTTATAAACTAGGGAATGTAACAGTAGAAGTAATTTTCCCCAACATTTCAGAAGCCTCCCTATAAAATCTATCTGGTCATATCTCTGAATTTCTCTTTTAAAATGTTTAGTTTTGTTTTAAATTTAAAGTTCAGTATTTTAATCTGCTATTATGTAGTTACCTTTCATTCATGGTTTCTGTTTTCCCTTAGGACTCATGTGCTATACTGTTCTGGGCCCTTTTTTTTGCAGGTTATGTGGAACACAGCTGTCCACTCTGAATTCATTCACGATCATGTTGACTATGGTTTTCAAAGTTGCGAGAGTAAATTTAATTGGCGGTAAGTGTTCATGCTTAGAGGGTTTGATTTACGAATGTAAATATTTTTCTTTCATAATTAAGTGAGCCATAAATCTTTTGGGGGGGGGGGATGTTATTGTGGTAAAATATATACAACATAAACTTTTGAAGGTGATGAGTATGTTTGTGCCCTTGATTGTGGTGGTGGTTCCACAAGTGTATACTTACCTCTAAACTCATCAAGTTATTTACGTTAAATATATACAGCATTTTGTATGTCAATCATACCCCAATAAAGTGGTTCTTAAAAAATATATATATTTAATATATATACACATACACATACATATATACAGACTCAACATAAAATAGCCATTTTAGCCATTTTTAAGTTGTCAATTCAGTGGCATTAAATATATTCACAGTGTACAACTATCACCACTATTCATTTCCAGCACTTTTCTGACCCAAACGGAAACAATGTAACCTTTAAACAATAACTCTTCCTCTCCCCTCCCGCAGCCTCTGGTATCTCTATTCTACCTTCTGTTCTGTGAATTTGCCTGTGCTAGGTTCTTTATACACTGTTTGTCCTTTTATGCTTGGCTTATTTCTCTTAGCATAGCGTTTTCAAAGTTGATCTATGTTGTGGCATGTGTCAGAATTTCATTCCTTTTTAAGGCTGAATGATATTCCTTTGTATACCACATTTTGTTTATCCATTTATCTTTCAGTGGACTTTTGGGTTGTTTCCATCTTTTATCTGTTGTGAATAATGATGTTGTGAACATTGGGCTACAAGTCTCTGCTTTCACTTCTTTTGGGTCTATACCTGGAAGTGGAATTGCTAGGTCGTATGGCAAGTTTATGGTTAACTTTTTAAGGAACTGCCATAAAATTTTTGAAGCCATCACATTTTGAAAAAATTTTGGCAAATTCATTCATTCATTCAACAAATATTGAATGGCCACCACATAGTAGGCACTGTGCCAAAGTGGCTCTCCTTGTCTTCTATGCAGAAAGAAATTCACCAGCTGTAGATGCCAACTGAACACTCTTCACGGAGTAGAATAAGGCTTCTCTACCTGTGGGAAAGCAGATGGACACAGGGGAAGGGGCGACTGTCTTCAGAGACATTCATTCATGGGGTTCCTGCTGACAGTCTGTGATTCTCTGCTCAGGGATGTTCAGGGACAAATGTCCTGGTTACTAACTGAAAGGGGAGAACCCTGCTTCTCAGTACTGACTCCGGTTTCGTTGCAGTGTTATAAAGGAAAAGCGAGATGCCTATGTGAGCCGTCTGAACACGGTCTATCAAAATAATCTAACCAAGGTGAGTGAGCTGGCTTTTGAACTTAGGCAAGGAGCTCTTCTCTGCTGGAGTATGCTACCAAGTCTGGCCAGACTAAAACATAGCCTTTGCAATACCTCTTATGGTTTCTGCTATTTTTTTTTTGCAATTAATGATTTTAAGGTCGACCTGTCAGAGCAGAAGCCTCTGACTCAGTAGGCAGCCTCTTTTCTACAGAGAGTGGACAGTATGTGCCAAAGTTGGTAGACCAGGTCTCACCTGATGGCTGTACCTTGGGTAGCTCTGGCCTTCCACTTGGTTCCAGAAACTAAATACACAAGAGACTGATTTTTGCACCAGTATGCCAGTTTGTTAATTTAAATCAGGCACATTATTTGAGTGGAAACCTACCATCATTCATTTGCTCAGAGCACCCTCACTTTTGGTGGCTAGGTCTATTCAGGAGACCAAGACCAAATTATGGTTTAAAAGGTTGTTTTGTGAATGACGTCTGAGCAAGAAAATTGGGTGAAGATGTGTTTGTCTTCAGCAAATAATATGTTGTCCTTCGCTATTCTGAGGCTTTTTCTGCCTTCGTGCTTGGATCTCATACCTCTTCCACCTGGGACTGTGCCAGAGACATTGGCAAATGGTGCACGATCCAACTCCTTTTTCTTGACTGTGTATATCCCACCACCCTTCATTTGCCTTTTTGCTCTCACTTTGTGTTTTCTAAGATTTCGACATAGCTTAGGTTATATTTAGATCAGTAGATTCTTGATGATATTTGGGCCACCGTAATCTCATTAGCAGCATGTTTATAAACCAATTTTTAGGGTGAGTTACTCCTACAGGTGGCTTAACCTCATATATTTTTGTATTGATTCTTGTTCATTGCATTTATTTTTTGGAGGGTAATATTTTCTGACCTTAATTCCCGTTCAATGGGAAAATATTCAGTCCCCTATTCACTGGTGACAAGAGATTTTAAGGCTGCTAAACATGAGTATAGAGATACTGCTTGCTATGTTAAGACACCCACATCAAAAATATTTTAAATGGAGCTAGCTAAAATGCCTTTGCCAAAGAGATAGGAAAATTACTCAGGAAACAGCATTTTTTAATACTTAAAAATCTTGGTGTGTAGTAGAACTTACTACGACCTTCAAGGAAAGGAATTACAGTTAATCTAGAAATTCTGAATAGGTGAGGAAACTTTCTATCAAATATCCTAGCAAATGAAAATAAAAATTTCATCAGTTCTTCCCCCCAAGCTATTATCTATATTATTGCCACTTGACCTGTACCTCTTTATGTCTAGCACCCCATAGGAAATCATCATGTCCTGCTGGAAGGTTGTTCTGGAGGCTTGTGGCTTTTGGCATTAGTCTTGGTCCAGCCTGATTAAGCAGGGCACCTGCCAAACAGGCCTGGAGGGGTGATTAGAAAGGAGGAGCTCACTCAGTTCAGAACCAAGCCTGTTCCAAAATGTTAAAACATTCTGTTCTGTGATTGTGCTCACCCGATTCCATTATCCTAGTAAGTTGCTTGCATTTGCACGCCAACACATGTAACATAGCTGGCAGAAGCTCACCGGTAATCCCCAGATTGAGGCCTTGGCACCGAGGATGCCAGTAGGAGCAAGTCAGAGTCTGAGATCTCAACATCTCTGGCACAGAATTTCCTTGTCATGTGACTTTGTGGTATTCTTCCCATTTTGTTTAAGAAAACAGAAGCATTGCATTTTCCTCCTTTGCTAGAGTCCTCTTTTACCTCTACTCCCTTCACCTTTATCCTTTTTGCTTTCTCAGCCTTCTGTTCCTCCTCTAGACCCATCATTCTTCAGTGTGTTTTCATTGCAAGTGAGGAAGACTTTCTCCCTCGACTCCTGGGGGCAAAGATGTAATCTTTTTCCTTTTAGGGTTGACTTGCATATATTTTTTGGTCTTGGGTGTTGGCCTAAGGGAGCACCTTTATTTCTTCTTACTGTACACTTCTGCGTCAAATGGCAACCCTCTTTCCTAAGCGTCAGTTAACAGTCAGAAGTTCTGCAGAAACTTAAATATTGGAGAGTTGTCTTGGCATCAGCAAACCCAAAATCAAAATCCTCAGCAGAGAAATGGAAATATCTGATAAGTTGTGTAGGCATGCAAATGTGGACAACTTACTAGGGTAATGGGATCAGGTAAGCCTGACCACAGAACAGAATGTTTTAACATTTTGGAACATCCTTGGTTCTTTTTTTTCCTTTTTTTTGAAGTGGGGGAAGGTTAGCCCTGAGCTAACATCTGCTGCCAATCCCCCTCTTTTTGCTGAGGAAGACTGGCCCTGAGCTAACATCCATGCCCATCTTCCTCTACTTTATATGTGGGACACCTACCACAGCATGGCTTGACAAACAGTGCCATGTCCGCACCCGGGATCCAAACCGGTGAACCCTGGGCCACTGAAGCGGAACGTGCATGCTTAACTGCTGTGCCACCGGGCTGGCCTCACATGCTGGGTTCTAATTTAAGTCATCAGGTGTTTTTGTTGTATCTTAAGAACAGGCTAATGTCATGGTTCCTTCTCCAGTCCCATATAGAAATCATCCGTGGCCATGCGGCATTCACGTCTGATCCCAGGCCCACGGTAGAGGTCAGTGGGAAGAAATACACTGCTCCACACATCCTGATTGCCACAGGTGGCATGCCCTCACGTCCTCAGGAGAGCGAGATCCCCGGTGAGTCTTCCAAAAGCAAATGCTCATCAATAACAGTGAGAAGAGTTTACTGTTGTTTTCAACCTTACAAGCCATGCTAGGGGATATGCCTATACCAGTTCTTTCTCATGTCTCTCTCATGACAAGGCCGTGAGAGAAGATCTCTGCAGAACCAAAGTGCGTTTGGCTTAACTGGTGCCTGGTGATGGGACAGAGAAAGATATTTCAGCCAGCTCCAGGCTCAGACATAGTACAGGTAACAGCCTCCTCCCTTCCGTCTCGGCATGGTGGAGATTTCTGGCCTCAGTTTGTAAGATGGGTTATTATTTACAAGACACATGATTTATTTACTTTTTTGTTTAAGAGAGAGAAATTTTATAAGGATATAACTTAATTACCTAATTAAGTGTTTTTATATGCATGTTTTTCTCATATGGAGAATTATAAAATTAAAGCAGTAAGAAATCTTAGAGGTAATCATATCTGCCTTTGCATTTTATACACACAGGGATGAATTGTGGATATACTGCCTTACTCTCCCATAAGAAATGTGTCTTTCTCCCCAACTAGATTATAAAGTCTTTGTGAATGGTGATTATACTTTATACATCTTTTGTATTCTCCCTGGATTGGCTTCATAAGACTCATGCCCAACCTGAATTTATATGGAAAATGTTGAGTGTGTATGCATTTATGCATTTTTTTCTCTCTGAGAGAGAAGGATCCATAAATTTTCAGCAGCTTTTAAAGGGGGTTCATGACTCTGAAAAGGTAAAGAACAACTACCATAAGAGATATGAAGATACTGTTCTCAAGTAACTTAAAATTTAGTTGGGAAGATTAAACGTAAGCATCTTGATATGGGACAGTCTCCAAAATTGATTGTTAAATGAGAAAAAGCAAGATGTGGAACAGTGCATATAGTATGCTACGATTTGCCTTTCTAAAAAGGCAGGGAGACTATCCAGGTGCACTGGAGCATCTCTGGAAGGATACTCAAGCATAGCAGTGCTGCCTTCTGCCAAGGAGAGAACTAGAGATAACCTGCTTTTCAGTGGATGCTCTGTTATGCTTTTTGAATTTTTTAACATATACATTTCTAATTGAAAACATAAAATAAAAGCAAATGCAAAGAAATAAAATAAAAAGTAAATGTTACAAGGTAACTGCCAGACAGTCAGAGTTCGGATGCTCAGAGGTGGGACAGACTATTATGGGCTGGAATAAACAAAAAGACTTCCCAGGAGGGAGGCTCCCAAAGTGAATATTGTGTGCTGAGGAGGAAGAAGACTGGAAGAACCAGTGGATGATAAAGATGTCTGTGAAGGACATTCAACCCATTCAGCCAGTTTTTCTAGCATTGAAATTCCAGAGGCGAATCCAGCAAGCTGAGACTGGAAGAGGGCTAGGGCCCAATTGTGAAGACATATAAAGTCAAATTAAGGCAATTTCTAGAATTCATGACCACTGGGGCAAATAATTGTTAGCTTACATATAGGGTAGTGACAAGACCTAAGGATAATTTTAGAAAACGATTCTGACGGTGACTAACAGAGGAGGGAGGCTCTAGAACAGTTAGAACGCTGCTGTGGTGGAATGTGCGGGAGGTGATGATACGGTTCTGAACTACACGGTTAGCACCTGAAATGTGATGGCAAAGCGCAGTTCTGCAGACAGCTCCTGAGCCACTGCTACGTGCCAGGCACTAGAGAAGAGGACAGGTGTAAAAGACTCGGAGAAGGAAGAATCAGTTACTGTGTTTCATCGATTCCCAGACACTTTTAAAAAAATATATGCAACACCTCTGAAATCAGGATATGTCCTTTAATCATGGTGCCTTGGATTTGGCGAAGTACAATATTTTTAATAACTGATGAGATAGAGGAGGATGTTGAGAGAAGGAATCAGACTGACAACTCAAGACTTTGGATTATTGCTGGAAGGTCGTCCCTTTAACTGAAGGGGGAAACTTGAGAGAGGGATATGCTTTGGGCCATAAAGTTAAGGCTCAATTTGAGTTTGAAGCAAAGTAGAATTGTATAGCAGAGTAGTTAGAAATATGGAATTGGAACCTGGGGAGAAGGGCAAAATTGGAACGATGTATTTGGAAGTCCTCCACAACGAGGGGAGAGTTGGTTGAAACCTTTGGAGAAAAAGCAGAGAAGAGGGCCAAAGCTGAGCCAAGAAGTTCCCACCTACATTTGGGGGCGGGAGAGTAAAGCAGAGTCTATTCATGAAAGCTGAGAAGATCTTAGTTCCTCAGAGAAATTTAATAGTTCTTTAGTCATCACTGCTCTTATTTCTACAGAGAAAATAAAAATGTTTACCTAGGGAAGATTTGGTTGGCAGCTTCCCAAATGGAGACCTTAACAAAACTTGTCCAGACAGAGTGTGATGGCTGAGAAAGTGTTTGGTTCTTGCGTAAAGTGTGATTATTTTACAGGAAAAATAGTCTCAGTCTGTGTGATCTATGTTACATTTTCCTACATAGGTGCCAGCCTAGGAATAACCAGTGATGGATTCTTTGAATTGGAAGAATTGCCTCGGTAAGCTGGTTTCCTTCCTGACCTCGATGTTCATTATTCCTCCCTCTCTCTTGCTAACATTTCTTCTACTTCCACCTCCCAACCATTGAATGTAGGCCGTTCCTGAATTCTCTTCTCCTTCCTCTTCTCTGTTTATGGCCTTGGGTATCTCATCCACTAGCACCCCTCAGTAAACAACTCACGTCTTTCACGCTTTTGATCAAAGGCCGTTGCAGAATTTTTAGAACCAGAATCAAGTACAGGGTAGTTTTGAAGAATAAACAGTAAAGTCCTAAAACTGTCTTCTTTCTTCAACTTGGGAGAGCATCAATTGGTAATGCGTCTCAAGTAACTTATTCTGGTTTTCAAAGCAGCTAGGGCAAGGGGATCTCCATAAATGAAGGCTGTGTCGGTCTCACAAAAATAGATTTTCTGAAATTGTCTTTTATACGTGTTTGTCCAAATAATCTTAGTAAACTTCTGTCATTGATTTAGATACATAGAAAAAAGATAAGGAGGAAGATGTTTTCTCTAATTTTAAGAAGCTGCCAATTGCAGGCTTTCTAGGTTAGAGGGACTCTTCCTTCACTCATGATGAGAGACAACCCCTAGGAACTGGAGGAGGGACCCTGTTGACCCAGGAACTGGCCTTTATCTCCTGAACAGCACTCGTTCTGGAGTCAGTATTGCTCAACTCTGCTGCTCCCTCAGCGAGTGCTGACAATCCAGTTTGAGGTCTTAATCCTGTGCTTTTATAAAGGCTTTCATGGAGGGTGACTAACAATCCATGCTCAAACCCTTAGCTTAATTCACCCGGCGTCACAAACAGTTAATAAGGGGATAAGAGGGCTTCTTTGCAATACCATAGCTGCAGTGGAAATGTCCCATTGAGATATTCAGACCAGGCAATCTTCTGACTTTGAGAAAAGCAGACAGTTTTTAGCTGTACTGTTTGGTCTTAGGGTTGAATAATATGATACTTGTGAGAATGTATCCAGAAATGTGGTCATGACTAGTCATGTTTAGATGATATAATTCAATCTAGACTCACCCTAAAAGAAGCTTCATTATAAATATCTGTCCATTAACTATTTTTAAGTCGTTTATTAAACTTGTATTGCTAGCCATACAAGTTTAATAAATAAATTTATGCATATTGTATACAAAAGACTCTGGGAACATAGGAAAATGAATTAACAATTATATGAATTTTGTTTTCTTTTTCTCCTTTAAGACTCCTTTATCATTGTTATGTTGGTAAATAAGTGAAGAGTTGGAGGAAAAACAAATTCTGTAGGCAAGGTACCATGTTCTATGGGCTGTGTGATTCAGTTTTTGCCCTCACTTGTTGGATGAGGCTGGAGTGTGGACCCTGTGGAATGCTCTGGTACAAGTAGATCTGAGAGCCCTAATGAGGTAAAGAGAAGTGCGTTGAGGATTTGGCGGGATATAAGATCATTTCCAGTGGACATGTCAGTGGTAAGAGGTAGAAGAAAGGCACCTTGGGAGCTGAGGGGGAAACACAGCACTCGTCGCAGTTCTCTGAAGAAGCCAGCTTGTTTCACATCTATTTCTTATATGTCCCACTGCTTGGAATGGAACCTCTGCAAGAGCTACTCGTCTTTCAGGGATCTGGAGCCCTGTCAGAATCGGGAGCGTTTCCTTAACCCTCTACTCTGCAGGACTGTTGACCTCCATGCTTCCACAGACCCCAGGGCATGTCCCCTCAGGAATTCCTCAAGGGCAGGGACTGCTACCCATCCCGTCTAGTGCGATGCTTAACAGAAGTAATGATAATAAATGTTTGGGCAAGAAAGAGAAGATGAATAGAAGAAAGAAAACAAGAAAGAAGGAAGACCCAAAGAAAGGAAAAGGGGACAATATGTAATAGGAAAGAGAGAGATAGAGATGGAATAAGAAGTATTTCACAGTTTTCAAACTGTTTAGACATTTCTCTTTTCATACCCTGGGTTGTAAGATAAGAGGGTCCTTACCTGTAACTTGCAGCCATGTGGATTCATACTTCATCCTCCATCTAAACCACAGCCCTCTGAAGATAGGAACTCAATGCAAGTACCTGCTTGTAGACTGTGCTAAAGAAGGGTTTCCTGTATTCTTCCCTGATGGCTTACTCTTACCCAAGCATTGGAACAATGGTAGAGGACCGTATTTGAAGCTTTGGAGAACTCCAGCCCCGAAGAGGATAGCTCTGGCTGAGGGGCACTTATTCTCTAGGCTGCAGCATAGAAGTAAACGTTATTGCGCTTGGGGCCAGGATCAACTTCTCCACCAGTGATTCACACGTTCGTCCAGCATTTATCTGGTGTTTAAGATACATTCTTAGACCAAAATGTATGCAAGGAGCCTTGTTTTAATTCAGACCTATCCTACAAGTTAAATGGCTTGCTTGAATTGGCCTTTAATCATATTGCAAAGATTGGTAGAACTGAATAATGATCAAAGAGAAATACTGAGCAGAGAAGAATAATGGTGGTGAGAATAGTGGTGCCAATTTCCATTTTAGTTGTGAAGATAAGGGATCATCTCTAGTTTCAAAAGTTTTTTGTTTGCTCGCTGAAGAAATGAAACTAAGGAACTTTTAAAACAATTAAAAATGTATTTCCCCTCCACAAAGGGATATTTCCTACTTAAAATTGCCATGCGGTTTCTGGATGGGATCTTGGAACAGGAAAAGGAAATGAATGGAAAAACTGAATGAAGTCTGGAGTTTAGTCGATAGCAATGTTCCAATGTCAATTTCATAGTTTTGACAATTGTACCAAAGTTATGTGAGATGTTAACCTTAGGAAAAACTGGGCAGAAAGTATACAGGAAATCTCTGTCCTGTCTTTTCAACTTTTCTGTAAATCTAAAATAATTCCAAAATAAGTTTATTTAAGAATATTACCCCTTTGCTCTCCTTTTAGCCGCAGTGTCATTGTTGGTGCGGGTTACATTGCTGTGGAGATAGCTGGGATCCTTTCAGCTCTGGGTTCTAAGACATCGCTAATGATACGGCATGATAAGGTAAGTGAGAGTTTTCTCTTCTGTTGTCATTAATTACTAGGATGCAAAGCAGGTGGAGGTCGGTTGGGTTTTTTCCATGTGGAGCTGCATAGAAGCTGTTAGAATTAGGCCTTATGTCCTTCCCAACTACCAGCTGCTAGTTGATAATGATGATTTTGATTTGATCAAACTGGCTAGTATTTCATCATTAAGTGGTGGATAGTATCAGATAACCTTAATAAGGAGACATGCAGGCTTCAATATAAAAATTAGTTAAATTGAACAGACTACCAGGTTCATTTCTTATTCTGGAAATCAATTTCATATGCTCAGGTAGAGTCAAGTGGTTAACAGTCAAAAAAGTTTACTAAATTCTTTGCATTAAAAGAAAACTTATGAAGGATATTTGCACCCCTATGTTCATGACAGCATTATTCACAATAGCCAAGAGGTGGAAGCAACCCAAGTGTCCATTGACAAATGAATGGATAAACAAAATGTAGTATATTCATATAATGGAATATTATACAGCCTTAAAGAGGAAGGCCGTTCTGACACATGCTACAACATGGATGAACCTTGAAGATATTATTCTAAATTAAGTAAGCCAGTCACAGAAAGACAAATATTATATGATTCCACTTATATGAGGTATCTAGAGTAGTCAAACTCACAGGAACAGAAAGTAGAATGGTGTTTACCAGGGGTGAGGGGAAGGAGAAAGTGAGGAATTGTTTAATGGGTACAGAGTTTCAGTTTTGCAAGGGGAAAAAGTTCTGGAGCTTGGTGGCACAACAATGTGAATACACTTAACACACTACAGAACTGTACACTTAGAAATGGTTAAGTTGGTAAATTCAATATTACGTGTTTTTTTTACTATAAAAAATAATAATAGAAAAGGAAGCTTATAGATCATCTAATTAAACTTCATTTTGTAGATGAAGATGATAAGCCAAGGCAGGTTTTGTGACTGCTAATTAGAATCAAAACTGAGAGCGAAGGTCTCAGAAAGCCCAAGCCAGTATTCTTTTTGCTAAAATCCTGCCTCCATGTTTGTCATTACTTGTGAAGTGTTGCTTTAGGTATTTTGTTGATTAATCATGACTGAGCACCACTGGGTTGTGGCATCATATGGGAGCTTTCAGAGACATGGTGTGGGGCAATAACAAGAATGTTGGCCTAAGAACCTAGCTGCCCCTAACAAGGGTGTGACTTGGGCAAGTCATTTAACGCCTTTGGAACAGCACTTGTGAGATCCCTGACCACTCAAATGCTGTGATTCAAATTCTTGATTATTTTAGCCAATGGAGGGAGACGAGAGAAACTGACCATCCTAGTCAGTGTGTACTCCAAGGAACTTCCTCTTTGGCTTTCAGACTTGTCATATCATTAGCCCCCAGGAAATTTATGTCCCGAATGATGTTTTTCATAGGTAAATGTTATTTTGCATTTCTGGAATATATCCAGCAAGTTGGAAGGAAGGAGAAAGGCAGAGGGACAATTTAAGTAAATTAATACACAAATAAGCAAACCGCAACAGTTTATCAGTAGAGTAGATAGCTCCCACATTTGGAAAATTGGCTTGTTTGCAGAGAGCAACATCTACTTCCTGCCCTCCCCCACCCCCAGTGCATCAGGCTCATTCTCCTTCTTCTCTCTGTCCTGGCGTAACTCTGTTCTAGAACTATTCTGTGAATAACTCATCACCTTCCTCCTTTACGCTTCCTGGAGTGTGTGGCATGTGTGTTATCAGAAAGAAATCTCTAGAGAAAGAAAGAAGAGGCGTATGAGTAAAGAAAAGTTGCTGGACAGTGACAACTATTATTCCAAAGAATGGTCTCCCTAGGGTGGTAAATGGAATCCATCATATGAACATTGAAATCCAACTGGAAATAACATTTAGGGGATTCTGAAAAAAGAACAACCATTCTAGCAGCAAAACTGTAGATTAATTGTTATGTCAACTCTATTTCTTATTTCAGTGATGTTTTGCTATAGAATTCATGTGGCTCTTAATTAACTCAAGGCTATGTAAGAGTCTCCTATTCCTTGAACTTCCTAAAGGCAAGCAATAGGATAGATATTTCAGCACCTAAAGTGAAATGAACAAATAATGATACTTATCTCTGGGCATATTAGATACTAGTAACATTGCTTATTCATAGAAGTGCCAGATGCTTTTTAAATCTTACAGTTCTACTTAAAGTAATACTATCTCTTAATTCTGTCCTATGACACTGAGTTCTGCTGGTTAATTATATATCTCAGGCTGTTTCCTTGTTACCAGTTTTACATGTCTTTAACTGGGTCTTCTTTTGTTTGAAAGAGGCGTGATCTGTCTCATTAGATTCATTGCCTTCCTTAATTAGTTTAGCTGACTATTAAATCTACTGCATTATCAATTCCATGATCTCCCACATGCTGATACCATCTTTGATGCTGCATTCCTTAGGTAGAATTAGGATAGACTTTCACCAATAATGTGGTATAGGGAAAACATGATTTTCCATTCCCTTTCCAATAATCTGCTTTTCTACTGAGCATCGTCTTCCTCTTATCTCGCTCCTATCACCAGATCACCACAATCATCGTCATCCCTATCATCATCACCACCAAGTCCTCCCCAAATATATTTTCTGGCAGCTTGATGTGCTCTTGTGATTTGTGAGGCTTGAGCATCACTCCAAGTGTATACTGAGCCCTCATAATACAGTCTCATCAGACGTGGTCCTTGTCTTCAAGAAGGAGTTTAACTCTCTCTAGCCTTATTCCCCACTCCTTTCCTCAAATTTCTTCTATTCAAACTGGCCTACTTGCTGTTCTCCTTCTGTAAGCTGGTCCCATCTCCTTATGTTTGTATGGCCTCTTCTGCATAAGGTGCTTTCCCTTCCCAAGTCATCAAGATCAGTGCACATGCCATACTCCCCATGAGACCTTCCTTGGTCTCCTCTCTGTATTTCTGTCTCTTCTAAACCTCCTTATCTGCACATCCTTGAAGTTAATTATCAGTCTGCCTTTTATTCTAATATTTTACATCTTCCACATAATAGAGCTTAATACATATTTGTTGATGGAGGGAATGAATAAGCAAATTTATAGTGTTGATCTCAGTGATGTTTCGATGATTTTGTTTCAGTGATGTTATGAAGTTGCAGTGAAGTCAGATGTAATACAGACATGGGTGGTGACACAGGAAAATAGGATTTCTTAAAACTCCACTCATAATATGGCCATAAATGAAGAAGGAGATGAGAAGGAGGATGATACTGGAATTTCTCTCCCAAGTTTGTGTCATATCTTTAATCAAGTTTTATCCCTTTCCCACCCACCCGTGCCTCTGCTGTCACTGTTTGTATACAGGTACTTAGAAATTTTGATTCAATGATCAGTTCAAACTGCACTGAAGAGCTGGAGAATGCTGGCATAGAGGTCCTGAAGTACTCACAGGTATGACCGAGCCCGGGGCATGCTTACAGCCCCTAGTTGTCTGTCTGCTGTCAATCACACTTTCTGCTTTTGGCTTCACCCCATTAGATTTATAAACACAAACTCTATGTCTACCACAGTCAATTTACTCCTTTCTAGAGTACTACCAATTCTTTATCCTAAGAAGATGTATTTCACGTTAGTATTTTAATGAAGTCAAGGTGTAAAAGATTAGAAATCTGGTAATTGAATTTAGTTTAGTTAGAACTAAAACTTTATTTTTTGTGCTCAAATGCCTTATCAAACACGCTTATTTTTCAGGTTTATCTTTATCTTTCAGGAAATATTATTATGGAATCTATTTTTAAAGCATACCCTTTTGGATTTTGCAGATGGAAAGAATTACCAAGTACTTTACTTCTCAGGGGAGCGCCTAAATTTCAGTTTTCCTGGAGCATTAGACTTGTAAAAATAATTTTTTTCCCCCCCAGTTTTGCCCTTTCAGCAAGGCCCTATCAAGTAAGATAATAAACGTGAATACACTTTGTGAATGAAAAAGTGCTAGACTGATGGTGGGGGTTACCATCAGACTCACCTTGGGACCTTCACTAAACTGTGTATGTACTCAGCTCTTCTGACTTCATTCTCACTCTCCTTCCCCTGTTCTGATTAAGAATGTCCAGAGGGGGTCCAGCCGTGTGGCTGACTGGCTAAAGTTCCACACACTCCACTTCGGCAGCCCAGGTTCGCAGGTTCGGATCCTGGGCACAGACCTACTCCACTTACCAGCCACGCTGTAGAGGCGTCCCACATACAAAAAGTAGAGGAGGATTGGCACAGATGTTAGCTCAGGGCTAATCTTTCCTCAAGCAAAAAAAGAGGAGGATTGGCAATGGATGTTAGCTCAGGGCGACTCTTCCTCAGGAAAAAAAGGAAAAACAAAAAAGAATGTCCAGGCAGAAGCAATGACTGTGCAGTTTGAAAAAATTTCTTAATGATGCTGCTATACAGCCCATTTCCTTCCCGCATTCCAGTTGCAGATCACTGTGCTTAGATTTGTACTTAACATTTTCTCATAGTTTTTAAGAAGTACACTTTAAAATACTTTAAGTTGAGCTTTAGGATGGTGACATGAGCTTACATTTCTGGCCATTGGCTGGATGATCTGAGGCAACCTAGGAAACAGTCTTGGCTCCAGGGAGTTCTGGTGTTAGTGGCCTTTCGGCAAAAGTAAATATGTCAGAGTGTAATATGCACGTGTAGGATTCAGTAGGGGTTTTTTAAATGTTAAAAATTCTGTTTTCCTCTTTATTTACTTTCTTTCCTTTCACCCCTTCCACCCCTAGTTAGCACGTTTTATTTGCCAACAGGTCAAAGAAGTTAAAAAGACTTCCTCAGGCCTGGATGTCTGCATGATTACTTCAGTTCCCGGTAGGAAACCCACCTTGACCATGATTCCAGATGTTGACTGCCTGCTCTGGGCCATTGGGCGGGACCCAAATTCCAGGGACCTGAATTTAAACGCACTGGTAAGCTGACGTAGTCTGCCTAAAACATTCTTGAATCTGTTAGTAGTCCTGTGGTTTCCCATGCCCCCTGGCACCCAAAATTTGGGTGGGTATTATTGGATTCTTTTCTGTTTATTCCATGTGTTACCGAACCAGGTTCATTTTGCCCATCGCGTAGAAAGCCCATCACCGAAATCACAAGTTTGCAAAGAGAAAGGGTTTTTATCACAAGGCAGCCAAGCGAGGAGGCAGGAGAACAAATCTCGAAACTGCCTCCCCGAAAAATGGGGATTAGGGATATAGATGGGGTTAGGGGGAAAGGTGGTCTGAAGTGTGGGGATAGATGATTGGAGGTAAGGAGAAGCAAGGTAATTGATGATGTGCACAAGCGTAGTCACCCTTCATGGTTCCTCATAGGACACACGTTCACAAAATGGTGGTGTTAGCATGATCTGAGAGTGGACCTTTCAGCCTTTTGACATCAAAAGGGTTGCTTATCACGTGTTTGTGCAGGCCCGGTTGATGGGTTGGTGGTCTCAACTGACCTGAACTGGACAAGGGAGTCTTAATTCCTGAAAAACAGCTCAAACGTCTGTTACCGTGGTGACCCAGGCGCCAAGGCGCTGTTATCTGTAATGCGAGTCAGATAGTATATGGCCTAAGCAGCACCGTTAACCATGGGTGGGCAAACAACTAAAAGCTATAATTGAGACTTGCAAAAAAATACTTTAGTTACTAGCCACCTAACGATTAATGGCTAACTGTTCACTGGTTTCATGTGTGTCCAGTTTGTCACTAAATCCCATTGCTTCTTCCTTTGAAATTAAAAAAAATTTCTTTTCCCTTTCTAGCATCTCCACTCTAGATCAAGACCCTGCCACCTCTAATCTAGATTGTCCAGGAGCTTCCTGACTAGCCTCCTCCTTAAAGATTTCCTTGTTACCAAGATGCCTGTCTCTTTAAAGCCCTATAATTATTCCTTACTGTCTGCAACTCTAATCCTGATTGTAACTCGTGTTACAATCAGGTGTGTAACTCGTCTTTGACCTTGTGGCTCGGGGGGGGGGGGTGGGGGGGGGATGGGAACACGTGTGAAGCTGATCTACCAGTGCTATCATTAGCATTCTTATTTGTTCTTTTAAATTTTGAAGAAAAGTCTAGGGTAGCAGCTTGGGGCGTGGGTCCCAGAGTTTGACCCAGTTTCAAGCTTTAATTCTCTTACTTACCAGCTGCATAGCCTTAAGCAGCTTAATTACTCCTAAGTTTCAATTGCTTCATAAATATGGGAACAAAAATAGTACTTGCCTCATTGGGTTATAGAGAAGAGTAAGTGAAAAAATGCAAAGTAATTCGCTTAGATGCTGGCTTATAGAATGAACTCAACAGATGTTAACCAACTGCTGTTGATGATGATGGTGATTTTTCTGATATGCTATATAATAGAATATTTTATATGTTTGAGGTTTATATATTTGATAGAGCCTCTTAAGCAGTGTGTAACATTTTGATACATGTTCTAATATTAATATCTGTTATAATGTGGATTCCTTTTTCCTTTCTATAAAAGGTGTTTTTCGGCATTAAAAATATATATATCCAGGGAGATTTTACTTGTTTTTAATCCTGCCATTCAGTGAAATTTAGTAAAACTAGTTGTCTATTTTCATATTAAAGGTAGCTATCCAGCTTTTCACCTTTCAAGAGATGTTTTGCCATTGTACAGACATAGGGATTGGTTGGTCCCTTTTTCAACTATTTTTGCTGAAGCTCTAAAAAATGAGGCAAAATTTTTCAGTCTCTTTCACTGTTAAGATATATTTGTATAATGAATAATTACCTCGTGTAGGTCTTGTCAACATGTTACTAACCTAATTTGATCTTGTCAACAACTCTTTGAGGGGTAAGGATGAGGAACCAGGGACCAGAGATAATAAATAATTCACCAGGCTGTAAACTCCATGGGTTATGGAGGATGTCTGTATTGCCTACCACTGCATTCACAGTGACTAAGGTAATGCCTCCTTTGTACTAGAAGCTCAAAAACGTGTTGATAGGGGCTGGCCCCGTGGTCGAGTGGTTAAATTCGCGTGCTCCGCTGCAGGTGGCCCAGTGTTTCGTTGGTTCGAATCCTGGGTGCGGACATGGCACTGCTCGTCAAGCCACACTGAGGCAGCAGCCCACATACCGCAATTAGAAGGACCCACAACGAGGAATATACAACTATGTACCGAGGGGCTTTGGGGAGAAAAAAGGGAAAAAAATAAAATCTTTAAAAAAAAAAAAGTGTTGATAAATAGGTGACTATACAAGGTCTCATAACTAGTATAAGTGGCAGGGCTGGGATTTGAACCCAGATCTGTCTAGTTCCAGAGGTTGTACTGTTAACCACTGTGTTACCCACTGCCTACTTCTGCTGTCTCTCTGCTTCTCAAATGAGAGTATGTACACTTGGAATGTGCAAAGCCACAAGATAAGCATGACACACCTTGGAGCAAAACTTTGAGTCAATATATAGGCAAAAGATTGGGTGAAAGGAAACAAGAGTATTTTTTTAGAGTAGAAGGCAAAATTTACTTGGACTTTTTAAGATAAAATGGTAAGCTTCGAAGAAATCGCTTTTGCTGACTGCTTCAGGCTGGGCCCCTCCGAGGGCGGGGTTAGTGGGCTTCAGGAGGAGGGGTTCACAGGAAGAAGCTGAACAGCCCTGTCTTAGGCGGGCTCCACAGGGATGGCAGGTGGCACGTGGGATTCCTTTTCCTGTTTACCTGGCCAGTTGAACTGTACATTGCAAAGTCAAATCCTGTTAAAACATCTCAAAACTGGATAAAATACTTACGTTCTAGATTAAGCAAAAGATATGAAACCTGCCGACTTGCTAAGATGTTTTTCATCTTTTGGTTGAGTCTTGTGGTTTCTCGGAGATTCAGGCCAAAGAGTTGCTTGAAATGAGGTAGATGCAGAGATTTGAGCTGCCATTTTTTTGTAGATAGGCCAAATATTGACATGATGTCCTTTCACCATTTTAGGGGATCCAAACTGATGACAAAGGTCATATCCTAGTAGATGAGTTCCAGAATACCAGTGTCAAAGGTGTCTACGCAGTGGGGGACGTGTGTGGAAAAGCTCTTCTCACTCCAGGTAATGTTTCTTCTTTTCGTGGGTAAAGGAGGCTCTGTGTGTCATAGAAAACTGTTCAGTTCTTCACAGTCAGATCAACTTAAGCAAAGTTAAAAGGATGAGTGTAAAAATGTCTTAAAATAGATGTTGGTTGGGTACCTGATGTTTTCTGAGTAAGATTCATTTTTCCTTAAAAGACTTAAAAAAAGGCTTAGTGAAGACTGACGTTTTTATATGGATGATACGGTCACCATCTGAAGAACGCTCTAAGTTAGAATCTGAGTTGTGTGTTGTGACAGTGGAAGGAAGTGACTTTGGAAAGAAGTAACTCAGAGTGACATTCTTATTTGGCTATTTAATCTTGATAAAACCAAGATTGATTCCCGCCCCTCCCCCCATCTCAGACCTAAGCCTGCGTCCTGAGTTAACTGGCGCTGGCACCATTTCAAGCTCTTTGTCCTGCTTCTGTCTCTTAGTGACATTGCTCTATCTGCTTTCCCTCTGTACCCCTCTGGGACCTCAACAGTCTTTCCAAAATGGCCCGGGGTCTTACCTCAGAATGGAAACTCACACCAGTCGTGCACCCAAAGCCTTTTAGCTCCTTTAGGAAGTTCTCTTAACGAGAACAAGATAAGCCAGTTTCAAAAACTTCATAACATAATCTAACAATTGAAAATTATGTCAAAGTGAGGAAGATTTCTTACGTATCCTACTGATAATCTATTTTGGAAAAAAAAAAAACCTGTCAATTTGAAATCAATAAAATTAATAACTGATGCTTCTACTGAACTCAGGCATTTTTTTCTAAAAAACTGTTAGGATTAAACATAGGCTAAGGAGAATAAACTTAAGAAAATAATAAGAAATAAAAATAATTTAAAACATAAGCTTAAAGAAATCTTAGTGTGAACTGAATATGGTTGTAAAGTAGAACTGAAGATGCTTGAAACTTGTATAGTTTGCTCCATAAATGTTGTATCAAAAAGCTGATATCCTCATTAAGTAGATAACTGCCAGATGATTGGGAACTTATAAGTATGTCTTTTTTTTTTATTGTAATAGAGTATACAGAATTCACATTAGCCAGTAGTTTTGAATTGTTAGCTAAGGCATTGATATGTCTTCATGGTATTGAACTAGATAGTACAGTGAGCATTGGTGTAAAACTTTGTCAGAGCTAGTATGTTAGGCCAGATGTATAGTTAGTAGAGCAATTCTGCTGTGTTAAAACAAGCAATAAGCTAAACGCTGATTTTAAAATATCTTTGTAGTTGCAATAGCTGCTGGCCGAAAGCTTGCCCATAGACTTTTTGAATGCAAAGAAGATTCGAAATTAGACTATGACAACATCCCCACGGTGGTCTTCAGCCACCCCCCTATTGGGACAGTGGGCCTCACGGAAGGTAGGTATTTAAAAACAAAGGTTGTTTATGATTTCCTTCCCTCCCCACAACTTCAGGTGTCTGTCGGCTGACTAAATCTATCTCAGCCTCCAAGTTATACTCCTTTTTGGTTGGCCTCTTATAACGGTTCCAATGTCTTCCCCAACTACTAATATTTTGAGAGTGTAATTCGTATTTTCACACTACTCTATCTCTTTGACTTTTTTTTAGCTTTTTCATTTGAACTAATTTCAAATTTGAAGAAAAGTTACAAAAGTAGTACAAAGGATTCCTCCATACCCTTAACGTTTTTGCGGTATTGTTTTCTCTCTCCACACAGACACACATACACACACACTGCAGTATCTGTTTCCTAAGAACAAGGCTGTTCCCTTACAGAAGCACAGTGCAATTTTCAAATGACAACGTTTAAATTGATACAATATTCTCTAAACTTTAGACCTTATTCAAATATTGCCACTTATCTCAAATAGTGTCATTTTTAACATTCCCCCCCCCTCACCCAACGTCCAGAATTCAGTCCAGGATAATGCATTCCATTTAGTTTTCATTCCTCTTCGTCTCCTTTTACCAAGAGAGATTGTGTGTCCCTGATTGTGGTTTTGTTTGATATTTCCTCATGATTTGTTTTAGGTTGTCTATTTCTGGCCATCTCTCTCTTTGATAGCTCAGTGGAATTGTTTAGGCTTTTGATAGATGCTTTTTTTTCCCTCTGCATTATAGATGAGGCCATTTATAAATATGGAAAGGAAAATGTGAAGACCTATTCGACCTCCTTTACCCCAATGTATCATGCAGTTACCAAAAGGAAAACAAAATGTGTGATGAAAATGGTTTGTGCCAACAAAGAGGAAAAGGTATGGGAAAAATTCAGTAAGCGAAAGTGTCTTCAAGATTAGGGCTGAGGGGGGTATTTTGATGAGGTGGGGAGGGAAGAGCCTTCTCTGATTCACTTGGGGCAGTCCCATTTTTGTGTGTCTATATATATTGGAGTTCTTCATAATATTTCATTTGGAAGGAGGTACCACTGCTTTTAAAACATAGGAGGGAAAGGTTGAAAAAAGCTCACTGTCATTGACCAATAGGCCAGACTAAATAGACAACTTGGAAATACTGGTGGGTGTAAGAATTTAATGTAAGAGAAAATTTATATTTAAAAAAACTAATCAGTGAAGAAGAGGAAGTTTATTCAATAAAATTTTCTGAGGTAATCAATTATCTATTTTTGGTTTGACTGTCGTTTTTTTGGAGAGGAAGATTCACTCTGAGCTAATATCTGTTATCGATCTTCGTCTTTTTTTTGCTTGAGCAAGATTAGCCCTGAGCTAACATCTGTGCCAGTCTTCGTCTATTTTTTATGTGGCTCGCCACCACAGCATGGCTTGACAAGTGGTGTAGGTCCATGCCTGGGATCCGAATCCATGAACCTGGGCCGCAGAAGCAGAGCACATAGGACTTAACCACTATGCCATGGGGCTGGCCCCTGCTTTAACTTTTTGAGGAACTGCCAAACTGTTTTCCAGTGTAGCTGCCCCATTTTCTGTTGCCCTCAGCAGTGTATGAGGGCTCCATTTCCTCCACACCCTCACCAATACTTGTTATTGTTTTTTTATTAAAGCCATCCTAGTGGACACAGAGTGGTATCCCACTGTGATTTGGGTTTGAATTTTAAAAAGTTGTTTTTATTTTTTTTTGTTCCTCCTTCTCCCCAAAGTCCCCTGGTAGTTGTCTATTCTAGTTGTGAGTGCCTTTGATTGTGCTATGTGGGATTCTGCCTCAACATGACCTGATGAGTGATGCCATGTCTGCGCCTAGGATCCGAACCAGTGAAACCCTGGGCCACCGAAGTGGGGCGTGCGAACTTAACCGCTCAGCCACGGAGCCAGCCCCTGAACAAGTTTTTTTTTTTAAATTTTTTGAAGGATTTTGTTTTGGTATTAGGTAGCCCTGTAGGGCTTTTTCTACAAATTAAATTAAATATTAAAGTGGAGCTTAGCAATCTACCTTGGGAACATGGTTCTGGCTTAATTGAAGATTGAGATATAGTCTCCAACTTCTCTTATCAAAAAGTGCATAGTCTGTATCTGATTCAGTGGCCTCGTACACCAAAAGCCACAAGACATAGTCCTTGGCTTATAGAAATCAATGTCAATGAGGATTGACAAAAGCAGAGAATCAGAGCAAAGAGAAGAAAGTAACTGGATTGACAGCAAAACCGAGGTTGCTGTTTCTTGGTCCTGAACGTTCCTCAGTAGCCTAAGATTTCCAGATATTGAATCAGCAAGGTTCCTGCTCATGTCTTCATATCAGTTATTTCTCCATACCAGTTATCATTCATTCATTCATTTGATAAACATTACCTGATAGTCTACTAAAGACTAAGAACTGGATATGGAGAATAATACAAAGGTCCTGCCATCACCAGAGGCTCTTTGTAAATTCAGTTTAGATCACAGCGTCTAGAAATCTGGCTGTGTTTAATGTATATACAATAAGTGAACTGGGTTTTTTTAATTTTAAATTGAGATGTCCTTTTTTTTAATTGTAAAAAACACATAGGATAAAATTTATCATCTTAACCATTTTTAAGTGTACCATTCAATGTATTAAGTATATTCTTGATTTGTTTTTAAACAAAATATTTTTGTGGCTACATTTTATGTTTTCTAACTTTGTTTTTCAACAGATTATTTACCTAAAAAACCTTTTTGAATGTCTGAAGTTGAGCATTAACTAATAGTTTTAAAATGTGTCGAGAAACCTCACTGGAAAATTCAATTTGAAACAAATGTCTCTTTACAGTCCTTCACGCCGTCATTCAGCATGTATGGACTGAGAGCTTCCTAAGGGCCGTCTTTGTGCTCAGCCATACGGATAGAGTTGGGAGCAAAAGCAGGCAGGGTCCCTTCCATCTAGAGATTAAAGTCTACTGGGAAAGATGGACTGTAATTGTCCAGGCCCATATAAATAAATACAACCTTGCGGTGTGGTAGAACCATGATGGAGAAACTTTGGTACTGAGAGATCACATGATAGACAGTTTAACTTGGTTGGGAAGGCAGGTGCCGCTATCTGAAAAGTGAATGGGCTTTAACTCTTCAAAGAGAGGAGGAAAGATTGTCCAGACAGAGACAACAACTTGTGCAAAGGAGAGAACACGGTAAATGCTCAGGACAGAAGGAACACTGGTGAGGCCAGAGCAAAGAGAGCCTGAGGGGGAGCTGTATGAGATGGGCTGGGGAGGAACGTCGAGGCAGGACTACGCTGGGCCGTGTAGGCTGTCTTATACCATAATGGGATTAGAGATGTAAGTTTTTTAGAGGTTTTAAAATATCAGGTATCTCTCATGATTAATGAAAAATTTATTAGTGTACCTAATAAAAAAATTTTACTTTAAGAATTGCTCTCTTCTTTTTCTCAGGTGGTTGGGATCCATATGCAAGGAATTGGGTGTGATGAAATGCTGCAGGGTTTTGCTGTGGCAGTGAAAATGGGAGCCACAAAAGCCGACTTTGATAATACGGTTGCTATTCACCCTACCTCTGCAGAAGAACTGGTCACACTTCGTTGAGAACCCAGAGGCAGCTGGACCAGTAGACCTTCTGATATGAACCAAATAATCACGTTTACTTACGTTCTCGTTTTATGTATTTTATTGTAATCAGAATCTTCTGATGGTGGAAATGTTCAGTAAATAATAGAACTTATTTATGTAATCGGAAATTTGTTTTGTGTTCCAAGATTGATTTTCATTTGATCGCATCTCACAATAATTAATATTTTTCAGTTTTTTATGAACAGCTCTGTACTGCCTGGTTTTTTGTTTTGTTCTGTTTTCTTTTTGTTTCAGCCTCCTCCCAAGTATATAACTATGTGAAGTACAGTTAATTAATGTACTTGAATGAATATAGCTTGCTAATTTTTATAGAGGAAGATGACAGGAGCTCTTCACATTTAAATAATATGAGTGCAGAGAGTCATTTTATTCTATTTTTTTTAAGCCAGTACTGTGCTCTATGTATTGCACAGCTGCTTCAAGGATGTGACCTGTCTCTGAAAGCATAGAACGTGACAGGCCTGCCTCCCTTATTTTATTCTTTCTTTTGTGTTAAATGACTAAGAATTGTTTGTGTTACTTTCATGAGATGAAGTATACCACACTTGGGAAAGATTTGAGGAAGCTGGTTACATAAGTGAGGGACATTTTAGAAGTGATTCCTGCTTTCAGGAGAGGGACTCAACTGCTTCCAAAGTCCCTTGCTCTGTTAAGAATTCATAGTTTGATGAATGGTTTCAATTTGTGTGTGTGTTCCTGTCATTTTACTTTTCTGAAAACTATTTCCCCAAATTTGAAAATAAAATCACAGCCTTTTCTTCTTATACAATTTGTTGTTGTGAATTTACAGGTAACATTTCACTTTCTAAGAATATTTCACATTGGAGGATCAGATGCCAACACTGAGCTCCCTTAAGGAGACTTAAGGCCGTGTGGAGAGAAGAGATTTTTCTTTGATAAATAAAAAACAGATATAAAGGAAACATTTAGCAAATTTAATGACTGAGTTGGAAGAACAGTCTAGAAATCACTTGGTTTTTTAGTATTTTATTTCCGTTAGCCTTTACCAGCTAGGTAAGTTAGTTAAGCTTTTCCATGGCTTTCGTAAGTGACACAGTGCTACTGAAATTTTTCGTTAAGCTTTTACTGAATGTCTTTCTCATTTGCCATGGCCAAGTTGCTGCCCTGACTTTTTAAGTAGGTCCAATGTCAACAAAAGAAAAACACCACATTAGCAACTAGGTTATGTACCTGTTACAGCAAGAAAATAGGGTCTAAAAACCTGGACATGGACCGACATAACCATTCCCCCTTCTTCCCTGCCAGCCTAAAAGGTAGTGCGCCAATGTTCTGGGCTCCGCTGACCTGGTGGGTTTCTCAGTCTGCCTGGGGCCCAAACTTTGAGTGTGACTCCCTAAGGAAAAGGGGAGGCCCAGTAGTCACGTATATGCTAACACTATGTATTTTTTTGTCTCAGGTATCCTTTGAGATACCTGCCTGTTTCTGGTTCTATAGTAACCCAAAGTGAAAGTAACCTTTTTAAGTTGCAGTCTTCATTCTCATCAGTCCTCAAGTCAATCTACCTGTGAGGTGATCTGCCCTACCAGCCTCCCTTACACAGGGCACTAGGCAAGATAAAGATGTACAAGGTAGCACCTTGTACAAAATCTGGCATGTTGTAGGTGCTCAGTAGACATTTATTGAAGGAAAGAAATGGTACTTGCTTTCAGGTAATCATATTGTCTAGAATAAGAGATAAATTCTACACAACTGCAATTCATATCAATATGTTAAGCACAGAGTGACTATATGATTTATTGCCTATAATGGGACATTTTTGGGAGTGAAAGAGAGCACTATTAATTGGGACAATAAGCACAAATTTGTACTGTTGGAGGAACATGGGAGAGTGCCACCCTAATTAAGTATTATTAGGTGGAAGGATGCAAGTTCAGAAGAGGCAGAAAGTGCCATTTTGCTGGGAAAACTGAAGAAGGCTTTGGGAAAGAAAGGTTATGTATGATTTGAAATTTGAGGATCGTGGAGTTGAAGGTCAGGGCATGTAGAAGGTTCAGTGAGGCAGAGTCGGGCAAAGTATACATGGGAAATGATCAGAGTTCAATTTGGCTGGAACATAAGAGTGCAAATTCGTTTTGTGTGGAATGTTCTTCCCCACGTGTTTATCTGGTGATCCAGTTATGTATTGCTGCATAACAAACCACCTGAAAACTCAGTAACTTAAAAGCAGTCATTATGTTATACCTCACGATTTTGTGGATCAGGAATTGGAGCAAAACTCAACTTGCAAGGATGACTTTTTTTATTGATGTGGACAAAGATCATTTGGTGGTATTCACCTGGTAGATGGGCTGATCTGGAGAGTCTAAAACAGGCAAGTCCAGACTTGCCTAAGTCTGGAACTTAGGCAATGACTGGAAGGCTGGCCTCAGCTGGGACTGTGGACCCGAGTGCCTACCTGTGGCCTCTCCAGCATGGCAGCGTGGCAATCTCAGGGTAATGGACTGACATGGAAGCTCCTAGAGATTGTTCCAAGATTCCTAGGCAGATGCTGCAAGCCTTATGACTTAACCTCGGAAGTTCTAGAATGACACTTCTGCCGCATGTTATTGGTTAAGCCAAGCCACTAAGCCCAGTTCAGATTTAAGAGGAAGTGAATTGGACTTCATCTCTCAGTGGGAGGATTGGTAAAGAATTTGTGGCCATCTTTAATCACCCACACCTGACAACCTCCTACTCCTTTTACAAGCTTCCGCTAAAACCACCTTTGTGAAGACTTTAATAGTTCTGTATATTATGTGTTCCCAGAACCCCTTGTCACATAGTAGGTCTACATCACATATTCACCTTGTGTATGTTGTTTTGTACTTAATGTTAATTATTTCTACATTCTCTATGTTGTGTTTCACAGTATCATTCCTGGTATGTCATGCGGCAGCTTTGGCTGCAAGAGGGCAAAGCAGTGTTAACTGATTTTTTGACACTAAGATCTATAGTAGAAAAGAGCCAACATTTTATTCCTTTGCTATTATGAAAAATGAGTCTTCAGCAGACTTTTCCCTTCCCATGAATCTGACCTGATGATAGATGAAGAGCTGTTAGATGTAATATAGATGACCGTTTCTGTTGCAAACTACTCTGAGAAATGCTCATTTATTGCCGTTGTTTTTAATACAATAATTTAGCATGTTGATTTTTCAATAAATATCAGAGCATTTTAAAGGTAAGAATGATTATATATAGTTATTTCTGTTTTTTTATGTAGTATATTTTAAGTGCTCTTTAATGTGTTGGGGGCAGTGTTAAAAGGTAAAAAGTGTTGGTTTGTAGGGCTGGGCTTATAGCTAGACTTTACATAAATTTTTCTGGAAACAATTCCCTTTTCAAGTCCTTTCTCTGTAAGCTGTAGTAGCAGACTTTGTCCTTTTTGGCTGTTGAGCATCCAGACTCTAAGTTTGAGGAATCCCAACTTTATGAGCCTTGGTAAGAGATAAAGCCCATCTACCCACATAGAACCTGAAAATGCCAGATGCATGCTTTCCCAAGCTCCCTTGCAGCTGGGGAGAAAGTACATGACATAGGCTTGGCCAATCAGATGTACTCACCCCTGAATACTCAGAAACCAGTGATGCAAAGAAACAGACAAGAGAGTATCCATTCTAGTGGCTGTGGCAACAACATCAAGGGTCAACCTGGCAGCAGTACCAGGGCCTGCCATATCAGTTTCTAGCTATGGTGAGTAGAACCCTGTGGCAGCAATGGTGACCTTGCTGGCTGGTTTCTGAGTCATGCATTTGGCCACTGTGGCTCTGGCTGCCTAGCCTCTGAGCCTGGATCACCAGCTGTGTCAAGATATTATTTCTTAAATAGTAGCTGACCTTTTTCACCCTCTCCTAAAATTTTTCCCTTTCTCCCCGCCTTGTTTGAGTTGTCTCTTTACTCACTGTATTCACAGAGGAATATGTCAGGGCAGAGAGCAGAAGGAACTTTGATTTTCAAAAGCTTAAATCTTTGGGGAATAAAGGCTTCCTTTCATCCCCATTCTTGACATATATATTTTTTTCTGAGTAATGTCTCCCTCCTTTCCTTTGAAAACGGAGATGGGCTTTATCTCTTACCATCAGCATAAATGTCAACTTTTCCCCAAAGTTGACTAATGAAAATGGCATCTAATTGTGGTTTTGATTTACATTTGTAGGACTCCTTGTAAGATTGAATATACTTTCATATGTTTACTGTGATAGATTCCTGATCTTCAGATGTCGAACAACAAGATCAGGATGGAAAGTAAGAACAAGGTGAATAGAAAACATATTACATTTGCTAGGCCAATACTACGCTAGTAAAGGAAATCTCAAGAAATTATACCCAGCATGGACATGGAGAGTAGACTCCCCAAACCACAGACTTGCTGTAAAATAAAGTCGCACAGCATGAGAACCAAGATGGAATCTGAGTGCCCGGGGCACTTTCTGGCATATACTAGAGGCTTAGTTAATGACTGGGGGAGCGGAAGAAGACTGACGTTGGCCATCTAGGAAGCAGTATAATAGAGTGGCTCACAGGCTCTGGAGCCAGGGTGCCTGGGCCAGAACCTGTGTATACTGCTTATTTGCTGGGTGCCTTTAGACAAGTTACTCAATCTCTCTCCGTGCCTCCTTTGAACATGCGTTTGTAGGGTAAGTGGGGTTATAATGGAGAACAGAGAAAGGAGAAGTCCGAGTTAAGGCGACAATGGGACCCGTTCAACATTCTAAAAATATTTGCTGTGCTCCTTCTGTGTGCTGGCCCCGAAGAAGATAGAAACTTTGGGTCAGGAAAGAAGCAGAGAACTTGCACTCAAAACAGGAAGCCCAGGCTGAGGGGTGAGAGGAAAAGGGACGAGGCACAAAGGTGCTTTGAAGTTGACTGGTCTGTACCCTTGTCCTTTGCTCTCTGGCGGTGTCTCAGGCCACCTGCTACCAAGGAGGCCCATCTGAGGTGGGGCAAAGGCCCTGTGATGGGGGAAAGGAGGGGCAGGGAAGAGGAAGAGCTTAAAATGTACCCAATCTTTAAATCGTTATTTTAAATATATCTATCCTGTTTGCTGTCCTCAGGCAAACCTGGGTTTTTCTTCTTAACTGTAGCCCTATCCTTTCCCCAAATTGCTGATTTTCAGGAGAGAAAGCTGACAAATGATCAAGTGTGGTAAGAGCTGTGATAGGGGAAGCACCTGGAGCTATGGAGCAAACCAAGGGCGTGCACAACCCAGACCAAAGGGTCCAAGGAGGCTTTGGACTTGAGGACTTTGCTCCTTCTCTCTCTGCATCATAGATTTCTCTTTCTTTATTGCATCAGAACCATCCACATACACGATTCTGTAATCAGCTTCCATTGAACCCAAATCCTTCCGTGACTTTGTATCCTTCTCTTGCTACTCCTTTACTCCTTTGCATCTGTTTCTAGAAAAACCCTTAAAAGAATGGTCTAGACATTCTTTCTGCTTCCTCACTTCTCAGGTATTCATCCCCACCACATTATGGAAACTGCCCTAGTGAAGGTCACTAATGACTACATGATATGAACCCTAATGGTTGATTCTCAAGCTTCATCTTGCCTGTCCTCCCACCACTGTTTGACATATGGTCAACCTTTTCTTCTTGAAACATTTCTTCTCTTGGCTTCTGAGACACCCATTCTCTCTTGGTCCTCTTTCTCTTTCACTGGCCCCTTCTTCTCAGCATGTTTGGTGGTCTTCCTTTGAGTGTCCCAGAGCTCATTCCTTGGCCACCTTTTGCTTCTCTATCTTCATCCACTCTCTAGTTGA